TACCTGAAAGACTGGCTCATAGAGGGTTCCTCCTCCTTCCAGGTTTTGGAACGCATATCCCTCGTTGTGGAGACCTATCTCAGGCTGGGTCTCATCTTAAATGAGGCCAAATCTACTCTGACTCCCACCCAAAGGATCGAATTCGTGGGGGCCTGTCTGGATGTGATGCTGGCCAGAGCCTCCTTGCCCATGGCCTGCTTTCTGGCAATAAAGAAGGCTGTTCTGAGGCTCCAATCATTTCCCACCACCATGGCCTGGTGTTGCATGAGGCTGCTGGGGTTCATAGTGGTGTACACCTATGTGGTGCGTTTTGCCAGGCTCAAGCTACGACTGCTCTAGGTCTGGTTGGCATGAATCCACAACCCATCGTTCCAGCCAATCAGTATGGGGGTGGTGATGCCTGTGGACCTGTTGAGGTCCCTTGACTGGTGGCTGTGCAAGGAGATGGTCTGCGAGGGGGTGCCGTTCCACGGCCCTTCCCCCATCCATCCAATTGATGATGAATGCTTCCAACACGGGATGGGGAGCCCATCTCGGGAAGCTATAGACTCAAGGTATATGGTCTCCTGTGGACCTTTCTCTCCACTTCAAGGAGCTGAGGGCTATTGGCCTTGCATGCAGTGTTTTCCTACCACAGCTCTGAAGCAGGTGCATTTCGATATTGACAGACCGCACCTCAGCAATGTTTTCTAGAAACAGACTCGCTCTTATCCTCTGTGCCTACCTTCTGTGGGAGTTCTGTGTAACCCATGACATTCACTGGGTGGTCTCTTACCTTCCCAGGACCCAGAATGCGTTGGCGGATCGCCTCAGTGGGTCCTTTAAGGGGCACATGTGGTCCCTCAGGGTGGATGTGACTCGCTCTGTCCATTTTCTACAAATGGTATTTTCCCCACATGAACCTGTTCATGACCCACAGGAAGTGCCCTGCTTTTGCTCCCTCTTTAGCCACAGCCCTGGGTGGTGCACTCATGGCCCCTCATCTCAGGGCTTACTGTATGCCTCCCCCCCCCCTCCGGTTTTCCCTGATTCATAAGGTGATCTCAGGATCAGGGAGTTGAGGGCTTCCGTGGTCCGAATAGTCCTTGTGTGGCGTCGCCAGCATTGGTTTTTGGCCCTCCTTGATCTTAGTGGGGCAGCTCCTGAGCCTTTGCCTGGCCCTGGCCCTAATTTCTCAGGAGTTCGGCAGGCTTCAGTACCCGACCCTCTAATTTCTGCACCTCAGGTCATGGAAGCTTCATGACTGACTGCCAGAGAGAAGCAGCGTTCAGACTGAATTCAGGCAATTTTCTTGGGAAGTCATAAACCATCTACAAGGGCGTCTTGCCTGGCGAAGTGGAAGCACTTTGTATGCTCATCAGAGGGCAAGGGATTCGCCTCTATGGAGGCTCTAGTCCCAGCCATCTTGGATTATCTCCTGGACCTCAGAACGAAGGGCCTGTCCCTTTCCTCAATAAGTGTGCATGTGGCGGCTATCTTGGCCTTCCATTCAGGGTCATGGGGCAGGTCTGTTTTCAGGGACCCCGTGGTGCATCGTTTCCTTAAGGGATTAGATAGGGTTTACCCCCAGATGCGTAAGCCTCTGCCTCTCTGGGACCTAAACCTGGTGCTCTCTAGACTCATGGCCCCTCCCTTTGAGCTGCTGGCAATGTCTTCTCTCTTGCACCTGTCCTGGCAGGTGTCCTTTCTTGTGACCATTACCTCCGCTAGGCGGGTTTTGGAGCTGCAGGCTTTAACGGTGGATCCTCCGTATATGGTTTTCTTCAAGGACAAGGTCAGGCTTCACCCTCACCCCGCTCTCCCGTCCAAGGTGGTGTCCCATTTCATCCTTAATCAGAACATTTTTATACCAATCTTTTACCCAAAACCCCATAGTTCTGGGACAGAGCAGGCTTTACACATCTTAGATTATAGACAAGCTTTAGCCTTTTATTTGGGTAAGACTAAACCCTTTCGTAAGTCCCTCCCTCCTTTCCCCCCCCAACTATTTGTGTCCATACCTGACAGAAAGAAGGGTTTGCTGGTGTCAGCCAAGCATATTTCATCCTGGATCACTTCCTGTATCAGGGCATGCTGTGAGCTGGTGCAGGTCTATCACAGCCCATTTGCCCATGGCCCATGTGTCTTCTGCCACCTTCGTAGCTCAGGTGCCCATCATAGAGCTCTGCAGGGTGGTCACCTTGTTGTCAGTGCACGCTTTTATGAACGCACACTTATGCCATAGTGCAGCACATCAGGGAAGGGTGCAGCAGTGGGTAGGACTCTTGTACATTTCAAAGGAGGAATGAGGAAGTGCTTGTCCCACTAGTTGAGTAGTTGATGGAAATTCCTTCAACTACTCGACTAGTAAACAAATCGATATTTAACATCCTTAGTAGACAAAGATTTTTTTGTGAATTACATTGCTAAAATCTAAGAGGTTTCTGAGCAAGTACAAACTGCATTTTTCCAAGGCCTTATAATTTGACCTAATTTGGACAGATTTTCATGGGGATGGCAAAACCCACCTTTCTTAAAAAAGCCACTTCTTGCCAAACTTCAGATTCCTACTGCAATGTGTGTGTGTGTGGGGGAGGGGCCTTTCAGAGAAAAGATCA